TGGGGGGGGGGGGGGGGGGGGGGGGGGGAGAGAGAGAGAGAGAGAGAGAGAGAGAGAGAGAGAGAGGTGTTTCTTTTGTGGACGTGGGGGTTGGATGAGAATGGGAGAAAAAGATGAGAAAGAAAATGTAAATAAGTTTGAGACTTGATTCCTTTTCACCTTATTCTCTTTCCCTGTTTTCCTTGGGGAAGAAAAGGAAATTTTGATGTAAGCTTTTGGTTGGGACCTGTGTGCATTTGTTCCTCAGCAGCTCACACTTGCCTTTTCAACCAAATCCTCTTCATTGAGTTGAAACCAATGGTTAGTGCCCCTTTTTCAAAATCCTAAAATTTTAACAAATTTCCAGTCTATAAATTTACAGGATTACATAGGCTTATGAATGTCCTAAATTTTATAAATTGAACTTATAGTGTAAATACAATTCTTGATTGAGTATGATAGCAGTGTTCATGTCCAATCCCAAATAATTGAGACAAGACTTGTTGAGTTGGGCTGAATGTAGCCACTCATCATTTGGGATTATTGAGAAACCCTAATTCCAAAAATTGGTATCATTTGCTAGGATAAATTTAGACCTAAATCCATCATAATTGACCAATCAATTCTCTTTTGCAAATATTGGAAGTGTTTTGTATGGTCAGCAATGAGGATGGGCTTCTTAAAGGACCTGAACCCTAAACAAGGACAGTGAGAAAGTCAATTTTAGCTTTTACATTTGAGTGGTTTAGTCTACATTTACTTTGGGTCTTCCGGAGATGTAAGAATGCATTCAAGGATAACTCAAAGTGATGATAGAGATGAATTATAAATTTAAATGTCTTGAATTTTACTCTCGACAAGTCCTTAAAATTAGACCGTGAAAAATTTATTTTTCACGAATACTTTAATCTTAGTATAGATAGTCTATCTTCAATCAGACTGGGGTGAAGATTATTTGAGGTGCGCTCAAATTACTCAGACACTCTAAATTGTTGAACAAAAAAAAAAATAAGAAAGAAGATATAGATATGTACGTGAACGAGCATTGCCAAGTACTGGCTCCTCTCATTTAACCACGTCTCTCAAAAATTACCATCGCAGCTCATTTGTATGAAAATGATTTATAATAATTTAAATCAATATTAGAATTTTGAATGCATTTTTTCCAATTTATACAATAAAATACAGTGTTTGAATGTGCTTAACGCATACACATATTCACAAATTCAAGTGAGATTTACTTTATTTTAATAGATCCTCTACAAATGGATAACCTAGGATTGAGAAAAAAAAAATCTAATACTGAATTGGATTTAAATCAAATTTTAAGCTAGTGAAGACGACCCAAAGGCAATTAAACCAGCTAGACTTGAGGTAGTTAAATTTGAAGGTTTAGAAAACATAATTTGAGTTGAGCTTGTTTACTCAAGTTAGAATTGATATATTCAACATGTATAAGCTTTGACATTTTAGTAGGTTAAAAAAATGACGTGGTATCTCCAATTCACACTAGAACGTCTAATTATTTTGTTTTTAGTTCAATGGTTAAGAAATGTTTAGACCAGTTCATGCACACCTTGATTAATTATTTCTCAGTTTGGTTAAAATCAAATCATCTATATTAGAATTAAAGTATTCATGAGAAATAAAAATTTCGTAACTTAATCCCAACACGTCTATTTACTTGATTGAGAATGATATTCATATGCTTGGCACTAAACACGACAAATGGAGACTGTGACACTTTAGACAAATTTAAGCAAAAGGTCGAAATTAGTTGAAGCAGCCACCTTTTGTTTCCTTATAATGAGTCCAACGGTATCCGTATCGAAAGTTATAGATTTTTAAGGCTAAGTTATAATTTTTTGAATTATAAGTTACAACTTCAATTAATATGATTGATCATGGAAAGTTGATATCGATATCGCGTTTTTCATGATTAATCATGGGTATCTATAATCGATCATAATCTCTCTTAAACAATTATAGTTTCTCCTTTTAAAATTATAATTTTATTATACAAAATAGTAACCGATGGTACCAATACCAACAATTTTTTTTCGATATCATAGAGTTTCCCTATATATATACTTTGGCATATAGGAAAGATGGTGAAACGCTTTAAATGCCTTTAACCGTGTGTCTATGAGCATTGGTAAGCGTCTCCTTTGCTGCCTTAATTTTGTGTCACCCATGACCCATTTCTATGGCTATCTTTTTGTGGGTGTACCCAGAGGGTCCCCACCTCTTCTCACCCATCAGACAGTCAAATACTCAACTAACATCCTTTATGAGGCATGAAGCCCACTAGGGCTTGGGCATGGGGTGGGTTATAGCTATACACCCCCTTATGGTTCATGTAGACTACCTTCGACCCGTTTAGGTTGCGGTTAAAACTTTTACCCGTACCCTTACCCATTTATTTTCAAGGGCAACATTAGGGGTGCAATTGAAGAGGGCTAACAGAGCCCAACCCAAAACAGTAGTATGTGAGCATAAATTTAAGACAATCAGGTTTGATTTGGGCAAAAAAATTCAACCCTTTTAAAATCGGATAATACTCGGGTTGAATTTTGTGTTCTCGGGCCAAATGTGAATCCACAAGCTCATGTTGTTCGAGAAAATTTGTAATTATATATGATTGGGGAGTTTTTGTGAGGTCTCCTCCGCAATACTTTTACTCATTTTTTTAATAGTCGATCATTTATAGTAAATTCAAGTATAATTCATTATTTTTAGGTAGATCTCCTATTCAGATACAATGAGTAGTCTATTATCGCATGAAATTGAAGAAAAATGTAATGAATGGGATCTTGTGAGATGGGTGGGAAACATAAATTTGTGAAAAGACTACAATATCCCTATTAAATATTTGGGTATAACGATTATATCATGTCAACAATGCTAATATTGTGTTATTATCCAATAAAAAAAATACAAACTAGAAAAAATGAAGTTCATTTTCTATAATGAGAGTGGTTATGTGTTACATAGTTGGATAATTATGAACTTTTGTGAGGCTCAGTTACAAACTAGTTTATATATTAGTGAACAATTACACTAAGTAACATTGCTGATGTGACGTTGTATAACACTTGCACCAAATATTTTTTCCTTTAGGTGAGGGTTTAGAATCAAACAAGGTTAACGTAGGTTAGGTGTTGGGTTGCAGACTGAACACATAGGAAATAGGAAATGTTTTTTTGAGTATTCTCCCCCCTCTTGCTGTGTAGAATGGCCCCAAAATCCTACTTTCGAGGTCAACAAAATGGTAATTACCATGGGAATCTCCAACAACAAAAAGACACCAGATTTCAACCACAAGATACTTCCCGTCTAAAACCATAAAAATATATGTTAATCTTATGACCAAGCTTATAAACGTTTTTTAAACTCGTGATTACAATAAATATTTCCATCATTTGTAATTACACGTAAATTACATGAGTCGCATATCTGACGAAATTTGCAAAACTTGAAATCTCAAAATAATAACTCATGATGTCTTCCCATCCAAGCCAATTTCACAATGTTA